CCCACCATTGGGGGGCTTCTGCCAGCCCGGACTCGTGCCTGTGGCCGGCGGTACGTCTTCTGTACTGTGAGTTTGATTCTTCTCAGGGTCGAACCCACCATTGGAGGGTCTCCGCCGGTCCGGCCTTGGCTGGTGTCTGGTTGTATGTCGTCTGTACTGTGGATTCGATTCTTCTGCTGGAGCGGACATATATATATATGTGTATTTGCCTGAATGACGGAAATGAACTATGAATAAAGAATGATACTTTACAGGACTTGACGGAGCCCGGGAGTCTGCTTTTCGAAGCTCCTGGAGCAGAGCCAGTGAAATGTGTATATTTTCCGGGATGAAATACATAGCTATCTCACTTGATGTTTGTTGACATTATATGGCTCATTTTTCCCTATTTGCAAGGTTACCAGGGGCAGGAAGTTCTTACCGGAATGTCCATATGTGTTTAGTCAGAGTGCTGAAGTTTGAGTACACAGCTTTGCCAGGCGCACCCACCCGTGGAATGCACCAACATGGATTCTTTCCTTCAGCACCGGTGTGGCGCTGTCCCCGGTGCTGCTTTCCATCAGCACCATTGAGACGCTGTCTACCAGTGCTAAAAAGCTAAAGTGCTTGCACCTCCATGTGCACCGTGAGTCCCCTGACCCCTTGACTTAAGCACAATGCCTAGGACAAAACCCCTATGTGAATAACTGCCAGACAAGCGTGCCCCTGGTAAGCTAAAACTATGAAAAGTGTCTGGGGGTCAGGAGTTCGCAGTTGAATGCTTAAGGGCGGACGGTAGACCACCACAAAATCCACCCCCTTGTTAGTATTACCAGGGGCACGAGGTTCTTGAGGGTGTGAATATCTGGGTTTAGTCCGTGGGGGAGTGCTTAACTGCGGGGGCCCGGGGACTCACGGTGTGCAAGGTTATGGAGGAATGCACAAGTCAGGGACATATGCTGGGGGTCATTAGTCCGTCCTTTGGGGGTCTGTGAGCGGGCAGAGAGAGGTGATTTTCCCGGTCTCTGTCCTGGAGGTGTGAAATAAACAGAGTCCCACTGTTAGGGACTGGTGCTGGAGGTCTCTAGGCCGTCCTTTGGGGGTCTGTGAGCAGGCAAAGAGAAGTGATTTTCCCGTTGTCTCTCCTGGAAGTGTGAAATAAACTAAGTCCCCATTTCAGGGACACCTCTTGGAGGTCTCTAGGCCGTCCTCTGCCTGGAAGCTGTTTTTAGTTTATTGTACTTTAAATAAACTAAATATGATTAATATGTACATTGTTCTGTCTATACTGACAGGTTTATGTCCATAGCTCTGTCTGTTTGTTGACTCCAATGTACACCGTCTAAAAATGACAATTATGACTGAATTAAAACAGTTTGACCTGATTTTAACACTCATGTAGCCATGTTTGCAGCGCAGCTCACCGGGTAACACTTGAAATACACTCTCCTGTTGAATTAAAACAGTTCCCCCGACTTTAAACACTAATGTACCCACATTTTGCCCACTTATTGCTGGGTTAATATATTATATTTTCCCCCTGGGTGTGTGTGTGTGTGTGTGTGTGGCACAATCTGGTGGAACATTTGTGAATTACACTAAAATCCAAAACATTAATGTTTTTTATCTTGGCGAAATAATGGTTTTAATGACCCCAATGTAATGATCATTTATGATTCTGCAGATGTTGTCTACACGTGTATCACAACGGCTTATTTTTTAGAGTGATTTGGAAAACTCGGTTAGCGAGGTTTATTTTTGTCAATATGAGATGCACTGTTTTCATGTCCCATGTACATATCTGTACATATGGCCTCACGCACTACTAACAGCGAGTAAAGTAACGAGTAAAGTAACGAGTAAAGTAAAGTAACGAGTAAAGTAACGAGTAAAGTAACGAGTAAAGTAGTAGTAGTAGTGTTTAAAGTCGGGGGAACTGTTTTAATTCAACAGGAGAGTGTATTTCAAGTGTTACCCGGTGAGCTGCGCTGCAAACATGGCTACATGAGTGTTAAAATCAGGTCAAACTGTTTTAATTCAGTCATAATTGTCATTTTTAGACGGTGTACATTGGAGTCAACAAACAGACAGAGCTATGGACATAAACCTGTCAGTATAGACAGAACAATGTACATATTAATCATATTTCATTTATTAAATGTACAAGAAACTAAAAACAGCAGAATCACTGCTTTAAGCAGCATATCACACTCAAAGGCAGACATACACACACCCAGGGGGGAAAAGATAACACATTGACCCAGGAATAAGTGCTCAAAACATGGGTAAAAGTGTGTTAAAAAGTCGGGGAACATGTTTAAAATGACAGCAGACTGCTGGTTGTTGGCAGGCTGACTCAGTTCACTTGTCTCACACACACCTAGGGTGACCAGGTCCCAACAAACCAAATGTGGGACAAGGAGTATGTTTGTGTGGGACAATGTGGGACACCCTCTCAACACCCCACATTGATTGACAAACATCATATTCATGGCACAATTCAAACGGGATCGAAAGATAAGTTTTCTCTCTCCATTGACTTCAATATTATATTAATATTATTATATTCATATTTCTAACATCACATGTTATGTTGTTATTTCGTTTTTATTTGTGCTTTTGTCGTTTTGAAGGAAATTAAAATACTGTATTGAGTTGGTTTCTTCTGTTTTGGAAGCCTTGTAGGCCTATATCTTTTTGGTCTTGTTAGAAATACCCCATGGTAAAACTGTGTTCTAGCAGCAGTTAAAGAAGCTTAGTTTGCTGTCTTAGGCTGCTACATGTATTAAGGTGTCACAATTTACACATAAAACCTAAATGTTCATCTGTTTATTGTTCTTCTTGCCTTTATATTCAAGCATGTTGATTGTATATTGGCTATATCTTGACATTATGTTCATTTTATCATACTTGCCATACATTTATTTTAATTGATGTAAATGTAACTTTTCTCTTACATATTCAAAACACAAAATCCTCTCATCATACTTAATCCTAGACAGTAGCACATGGTATATATTGTACAACTTTGTAATTTTCGGATGTTGATATGTATTCGCTCATAGCCTACTGTGCCTTTCACACAGACAATAAAAGTGAATTTTGAAATGACAAATTGATGGTTTATGTTTCAAGTTTATTTGCATTAAAAACGTGTTTTTAAACCCTTCTGTTCAGAGTTGATATTTTATAATAATAAATGTGAATGATTGAGCTCATTAGTGGCCTGACTGGCCCTCCTAGTTTTGGTCTAAAAAAAGGTCAATGATGATCATTGTGAAGGGGTGTCCAGCCCATATCAATAATATACCAAAGTACAGGCTAATGTGAGATTCAGAAATTAGTTTTAAAAATCATGTTTTCATGTTATAGTAGGCCTACCTTACATGAACCTGTTTGAAACTTTAATGACCCCATGATGTGATTATTTATATCTTAAAACCTTTAACAACTATATTTAGATGTTCATAAATATCTACATTTATGTATAAATACATGTGTAGCAGTTAGACAAACATAATTAATAGATGATCTCATTAATACCTATTTTATATGTACTAACAAATTAAAATAAAGTTTAGTAAGCCACCTTTTTGTTTTAAAGGTCCCATGTCATGGCCATTTCTACTGATCATAATTCCATTGTTGAGGTATACTAAAATAGATTTATACTGTGCAATTTTCCAAACTCACATTGGTTTCTCATACAGCATCTCTGTAAAGTATGTGTATTCACTCTCTGTCCTAAACGGCTTGTTGGAGCTCCTGCCCCCCCCCTCCCTGTGAGCCCAGTGTGCTCCGATTGGTCAGCTTGGCCACTCTGTTCTGATTAGTCAACCACCAGAGAGGCTCCGCCCATGTCTAACACAGTGCTTTTTTCGGCTCTGAGCGGAACATCGGTTTTACAATGGCGTCGGTACAGCCGTATATGTTTGAGCCGGAGTCCGATCCTGAAAGTGAGACAGACCAACGTGATAGACCTGATCCACCGTCCCAAACTATACTAGAGCAGACGGTTTCACAGTGGAAAGTTTTTATTTAGTATCGCTCGCCTCTTACATTTCAGATGTTAGAACTGCATTATTTATCTACATCACAGTAACAAGTTTGTCCGCTAACTAACCAAACTGTACCTACAACTGTTGTTATTAGGTGCACTTGTGGAAACTGCGCCATGATGCCTACCGAAGTGGAAAACATCTGCTGCAAAGAAATTAGAAAGGTAGCATAGCTGACAGTTACAACATTATGTAGCCAGCTAGTTGAAAACACCAACAGTAGCACACAGCATTATATGCCAAGATATACACCATACATATTTGTCAAGTCAATAGACTATTATATGCCCTTTTATTTCTTCCCTAGTAATTGAATGGGAGGCTGTGGCTCAGTGGAATAGTGTGCTGAACTTAGTGCGCTGAACTTTGAATCAGGGGATAGCAAGTTCGAGTCCCACTGCAGTCAGCATGTCATTGTGTCCCTGGCCAAGACACTTCACCCCAAATTGCTCCTGAGGGGATTGTCCACAGTACTGAATATATGTAAGTCGCTTTGGATAAAAGCATCTTAACAAATGACATATAATGAATGTTTATTTTGTAAACCTTGCCATAGTTGGTTTGATTGCTAAACGTGTTATGTAACAAATATCTTACCTTCCTATAGGTTGTAACACGAATGAACCAAGTCCCAGCACCTATTATGTGCATGGTACACCACCCAGGACTAGAGCCAAACTGTCTCAACCCATACACCCTGCAGAACCTCCTTAATATTTACAGATTTGATTATGGACCTTTGAGGCGTAGAACGGAAAGAAGAGTTAATTTATTCTTACCTGTAATAAAACTACTACTGTGTTTGATGAAAAATCAAATCATGGTTTTGCTATATATGATGATATGTTATAGGAGCAAATAATTCAGGGAAGAAAGGCTACTAAGTATTTCCATCAAACTTTATTTTTAGAAATGTACAAAATGAACATGTGGTGTAAATATACATATACGTATATCATCCATTCCTCCCCTTATAGGCGTTTTCGGCATCTTGCCTATCGCAGCTTTGTAAGCTGGTGCTGGGGCTTTTTAGGACGAGGCATCAGAGTGGTCATCCCATCATGTGTTGTCCGCCGGAATACGCCAGGGAGTTTCCTGATCGAGGGGCCTGTCAAATTGAGTGGACAGGTCCTTTGGGATGGGGATTTTATTCATCTCATCCACAAAGGGTGTTGGGTCCTCAAAGACTTCCTCAAACACAAGCCTCATCAGCTCATCCACGTACACTGAAAAATATAGCATTCATATAATAATTTATTATTTTAATTCACTTATTCTATTTCATGTAGGGATGTCCCGATCCGATCACGTGATTTTCACGTGATCGGGGATCGGGAGAAAAAAATCGGGGATCGGATTTTTTTTTTTTTTTTTTTATAAAATATTTTTATACATTTTATTTAATGTTACAAAACAAAAATGACCATGTTCACGTCTTAAAGTCATCCTGAGGCCTTAGTTTTGGGTTAAAATTACACAACATCATGTATGTGTTGCTTCTTTTGGGCTTGTTTTCATAGACCTGGTTGCTTATTTCTCTCAAATCTGGCAACAGAGTGGGCGCAGGGTCTAATAGTAGCAGTAAGCTAACAAGAGGCTACGTTCAGCTGGTGACTCGGGAGTCGGGACAGAGAAAATGTCAGGAGTTTGGAAGTATTATAAAATTGAAAGCGAAGGCAGTGTAACAGCCAGATGGCAATGTTTGCAAGGCGGAGGTTCCGCATGGTTGGAAAGAACAGAGCTACGTTCAACATGACCAATCTAATACAAACACCACCAACAACAACACGACGAGTACACAGCGGGCCACTCAGGTAACGGCACTGAAACAACCGACACTTTCAGAGACTTTTTAAAAGGAAAGAGAAACTACCCCAGAACAGTGAAAAGGCCAAAAAATAACAGCCAAGATAGCTGAATTCATCGCGTTGGATGACCAGCCGTTATCTGTTACCTTTTTTTTCCTCTTAATGCATTGCATAAAGATCGGATCGGGAAAATCGGGTATCGGCAGATTGTCTAAATCAAAATGATCGGAATCGGATCGGGAGCAAAAAAAAGGTGGATCGGGACATCCCTAATTTCATGTAACACTTTTCATTGTACATATAATTCAGTGTGGCTATAATCATTTAAAATGTAAGTTATGTTTGTAATAAAAACAAAAATATTTCACAACTTACTGTATGTAGGGTCGTTCTTTTCAGGCTTTGCAGTACATTATCCTCTCTTTGATTTTGGATAGGCCACTTTGAACACATGTTCTCCTGCAGCTGTTGTGGCTTGCTCACGGTCAGCATTTTCATTGTGATGCATGGCTGCTAGACACAACCTATAGAATAGCAAAATAAAATGAGACTTTGTGTTATGACAGAATAAAACCCTCATGCCACTAAACAGTGACTGTGTTATAAGATGCTACAGAATAAATTATACAGTGTATTACCTGCACAAACATTCCCATGAAGGGGGAAAATCACATTTTTGGGGGCAAAACGCAGAATTAAGCTGTGGAAGGACTCCAGAAGGCCTGTACTACTACGAAGCCGGATTTTCGCTTTAGCCGGCTGACTTCAGGGAAAACTCGGGCTTTCCGGTCCTACGACGCTGGTTTCTCTTTTTAGCGGGCTAGATCTCCATGGTAACTTATGCTGAGCGGCTAACCTCCTCGGGAGGAGAGGAGTTAGGTTGCAGGCTAAGAGATCAACTCAGTGAAAGCACCGGCCTGCTGACCAATCAGAGCTCCGTGTGCGGAGTTTAAAGCGATCAAGTCATATTACAGGATAGAGGAAATACAGAAAAACTGCCGTTGCAGGAAAGACGGCCGGCAAAAATCAACTGATTGTGTGAACGTGAAAATTAATAGAATATCCCCTCCCATCTTCAGAGCAATCTGACTATTATAACATTAGCGTTAAGAAAGCTTACTTAAATATCTGCCACAACATAAGTAACCGGATCAGAGTAACATTAAGTACAGTCCGCGGCACTGTGAGTGCAGACGTCGATGTGTCCCATTATCATTCATATCATATCACATCATAATGTATCATATATTTCCTTATCTGAGTCAGCTTCTTGAGCCGTAACTGGCCGTGCAACACTCACAGTGTCACATACTGTATGCAGAAGTATTATTTTAAGCAACACATTAAGTTGACGAAACACTCGAGTCAAATGTAATTAAAGTCAGATCCACTCGTGTCTTGGACGGGCAGTGGCAGTGATATCATAAACCTGTTAATGTACGCATTCAAACGCTTTTTCTTTTACCAGCTGTATTCACCTTGCAGGTGCAGCTATGTGGCTTTTATCCTGGATAAAGTGTTTAAGTCATGGATGTTTAAAGTTTAACTTCTTCATATTTGACTAATATTAAAGTTCACTTTTCATTCAGGAAGTATGATGCTGCGCTGTCAGTACGCTTGTCCATGTTTGAGATTGGTCGAATGCTCCAAATACCACCCCTTTTATGTGAACGCGCACCTAACTAGATAGGACATGGCTGGCTTGAGCGATCCACTTGATAACCCAGCGTCGTAGTACAGTTTAGCGAGAGCGTGTATGTTTTGGATTGGGCCAACCGGCTAACTCAAACATATCCAGGTTAGGTTGAACCAGCTTCGTAGTACAGGCCTCTGGGATGAGGTCTGGTAGTGATGGCTTAGCTTTTGCACATCTTTGAGAACTCTCTTGTTGTTGAGTATTCTTTCAACTTTGGCGAGTGTTATTGACCCTTGAGTAAAATTAGAAAAACATTAGGTAAATCACCAGCCCATTAGAACATTACAACAATAATTTGCCATAACAACAATGTGGTATTTACATTCAATATTGTTGATCTTATGAAGGAAGTGAAGTGTTTTTAAAATTTTCACTTGTTATTTCCAATTGTTTTATAAATATTGAACTTACCAGGTTTTAGCCATTTATTTGCATCGCTTGAGGCTCTTTCAGGATGTGAACACTTGGGGAATAGGGGGTCGTCATGCACGTGAATGTTTTGTAGGTGGTTGACCACTGACGTCCACCTTGCCACCTTCTCCGGCCCCGAGGTTGTGCTCGTCGCACTCCAGTATACATGGTTTTTTTATGCTGTGCAGCCACCTCTTCAACACCTTGCAGTCCTTGTTCTGTGAAAGTTTCAAAAGTTTCTTGGACAAACCTGATAAAAAAAAGCACATGCACAAGTGAATATTCAAGCCATAGTGTGGAAATGAAATGCTGTGATGGACAACATTCAACATTCAAGGGTGTGGTGGAAATTCCACACTTAATATCATCAACCATAACATACATATGATAATTGCCTGACAATGGTCAGTGAGACGCCCTTCTGTCTGAAAACACGACACCCTTCTGTCTGAAAACATTTCATAGCCAGGAAACCCAATACATATTCATATACACATCACTGTAAATTCCCATTCTAAAGAGCACTCACATTATCCTAAGATTAGTGAGTGAAATGTAATTTACAATGACAAAAGGTGCTGTGATCAAGTGGTCTGGCAGACAGTTTACAATAACAGAGTAAAGAGCAGATTAGAGGGCCAAATTGTAGGGGATATCATTAATGTATCCAGACATGATGTCATGTCTGCTGCTGATTAGAAGCTCAGGATAAATTGCATAGTAAAACAAAGGAATATCTTAACAAAGGACAGTGTCTCTGATTTGGTATTCTTCCATTACAACATATAGGGATAAATACCTTTTTCAAAGTGCCACACATCATAGAATTGTTCTATGTTGCGTTCCCTCAGAAACTTCTGGATCTGTGGATGACGGTCAGTCACAATGTACTCAACCGCCAAATCGTTTGACTCCAGATGATCTTTTGAGTCCCTCCTTTTCCATGTTGTAACTACCACCTACTTCATTGCTCTGTTGGTGAATAAGAAATAGGGCATACTGTAAATACACTGAAGCATGCATCAACAGCCAGCAAGCCTAAAATTATAACACCCAGAAAGAGAATCACACCTGAACAAGCTGGAAGTCCACAATGGTGTTGCTTCCCAGGTGCATGAGTGTGTAGCTCCCGAACTTGGCTGAGTGCCCTGAAGAAAATATAATACAGGAGGTTTCAAGGCTTTTCAACAGAATTTCAATGGATAAGTTAGATGAATTGTAATATACACCAGTAACTCTGGCACTAGACTTGTCTGTTTCTGCTTACCTGGAGAGTCTGCTCTCATATCTCCTCCAACTGTGACCTTTCCCCCCTGGTGTTGTAGTTGCTGGAAAAAATGCAGCTGATCAGTCTTCCACTTGTGGATAATAGCAGGCTCCAGGTAATTCCTAGCATGCCTCCTGAAGGTCTCATACTGGAAGATCTCCAGCTGCATGGCTCTGCATATCTATGAATAAATAGAAAAACAGGAAACGTTTTTGAAAAATTCCACTGCTGTCAATTTTCATATGCTATGGATATTAGATGGTAAAATACCTTTTGTAGTTGGAAGAAGGAAGCACCAGTGAAGTATGTAGCAGCGGATCATTGTAAGTTGCCAACCGGGGTACTTCCGATGATGGGCTGGCTCTCCCATTGTCTGAAGTAACAGCAAGTTTGGACAACGCTGTGTGTGAACGCCACAAAAGTCCCCCATTTTTCGTCTTTGGACATCACAGTCTGTCTTACACACCGGACATTTTTCAAACAGCTGTCCGAGGCAGCTTTCAAAAACAATGTAATTTGCGTCACTGTGTGTTTGATCGTTGTCTGAAGTCTAATGTAACAAAACAAAATTAACAATACATGTTAGATTTCAACTCTGAAAAACAGTAATAGTAATGTGTACCAAATATACCAAACTTACGATACGTCAGATTCTTCTACAGTATCATCAGGGTAGTAACTCGAATCCAGAGTCTCTTCAAATTCAGTCGAAGTCTCTCCTTGTTCCTCCTCCAACTCCAGTCGAGGTCTCTTGCTAGGTCCCAATCCTGGGCCCTTTATTGGTGTAGAGGCTAAGGGGAATTCTGGGTAGGTGGAAGTTGTAGTGCCAACATTTTTGAAAGACACCGTGGCCTGGATGCCTGTTAATAAAAAGGGAAAAGTGCATAAATACGTTGTACATTATATAATACACTAATACATTGTAAAAGGCCAACAACTTGTGTACATCTGACAGATTAATTCATGAAATATTTAGAAAAAAACTACAAACAGCACTGTATATCCTGTAGTCCACATAACAGTATTTCTGTGATATAAAAAAACAGAGGGATACAATAATATCAAATACAGTTTTATTTATAGAGCACATTTAAAAACGATTTTTGGTCGAGCCAAAGTGCTGTACATGTAATAAAAGCACAATGAAGGTAATGTATCTCAAATAAAACTAGAGAATGCAATTCCTGAAGAAATTGCTAGTGGCCAGCTTTATGCTGAAAAGCTGACGCTGAAATGTAATGTGTAAGAAGAAAGTGAAGAATTTAGATTGAAATGATACATGAACACTGGGGGCTTGAATGTGTGATAAGAGAAGAAAAGAAAGTAAAAAAGCTTGGAAAAGCAGCAGAATATTTGAACTGCAAACTTGTGAACTAACTTGATGGCGAATGATCTGTCGCCATGGCAACGGTATTTGATGACACCCCATAATACGCTTAGATATGTTGATGGCTGCATCGTTACCAAACCTGTGAAGTTTTGGGCTGTTTGGAGCATTTTCACTGAAGTTATGAGAAAACCGTTTTTCATGGCGAGCATTGTGTTGCCATGGCAACGGCATTTGAAGAAATCTCAAAACTGTATCAGCATTCCCACTAAATAAGAACAAGAAAATAAAAGTCTAAATGCATGAAAAAGTAGCAGAATATTTGAACTGAAAACTTTAGAACTAAAAGCATACGTCACCAATAATGTCTAAAATATGTGGAACATGTTGAAGTCAGTATGAAGTCTCCATCAGACGGAAAAGAATAGACTGAGACAGTTTGTTAAACTCCAGTGACCACGTCATTAGTCTGCTGCTCTAATTATGTCAATTGGAGTTATGACATCATCGTGTTCCATGACACAGGTGTTTATATTTGAGCTAACGACGTGTCCAGAGATCAAAGGTTTCCATGGTGATTAGTGAGAGGAAAGCATTTTCATTGTTCTGAATGAGAGATAAACCTGTTACATGTGAACGTTTTGTTGAAGAACCGTAACAGATATCGGTGAAATTTCAAAGCGTGAAGCATGTCAAGGAACTTGAGCATCTGTATGGAGCTAATTTCCTGCCATAACTCCACAAACAAACTAAACAGGTTTTACAAATGCCTTATGATTCACTAACAAACACAATGTGGTTTGCAAATACAAAACACCATCTACAAACTAATGAATTTAGTTTTGCAAAGAAAAAACGTATCTATCAAACAAACACATAACATTTTTCTAATAAATCATGTTTCAGAGACAAATTCAGCTTAGGTTTTACAAGTACACAACTTTTTTTTACAAGTGCACAAATTTGTTTTACAACTACAACACTTTGTTTTACAACTACAAAACTTTTTTTTTACAAGTGCACAAATTTGTTTTACAACTACAACACTTTGTTTTACAACTACAAAACTTTTTTTTTACAAGTACAAAACTTTTTCTTCTCACGGCGGAATATTACTGCCAAAAGTCACGTGACTCAGTCACGTGACTTTTGGCAGTAATATTCCGCCGTGGTTGTGCTCATACACACTCACACATGCTCACTCACACATGCTCCACGGCAGCAGGGGGCACTACTGAGTCCATTGGGAAGGCGGGAGGTTGAGCAGAGCATGGAACAGCTCTTGCCAGCCTGATCATGACAGCGGTGTTTCTAGCGATCCAGCATCTGAATTTAGCGATCACAACGAAAACAGCCAAGACACATATTGAGCCCAGAAAATGAATGTTCTTAGGGCTGTAAATATAATAAGCCTTTGTCTAAAATAGACAACATTGTAACTAAGGAGATTTAAACTATACAGCGATTCTGCACTCGGTCAATCAGCTGCTCTTCATTTTCTTTCCTGCTATATTCAATGAGTGATACAAATATTTTTTACCATACGTTCTGAATAAAACTGATACTGTTGGACTCGGTACTAGTTGACTGCTACCAGAAATAAAAGGAAGTACTTTACTGTGTACTTTGTGAGTAATCCTCTGTCAGAGTCCCCTCCATAGTACATAATGCATGTTTTTTGCTATCTTTGATGAATGATAAAAGGGTCATTCCAGAATTGGAGGACAATTTAGACACCAACATTTTTGAAAAATGAACCTTTCATTTGATTATTTTTTGTTATGTATTTAGGAAAAACAGATAATAAACCATAAAAAAAAGTGATTTGCCCAGCTAAGGCATCAAATGTATATTTTCCAATGAAGAATTAACCCTGTTACTCTAATTATAGTAACAGGGTTGAAAATCAATGCTAATTTTAGCTTTTACCTCAGGAATTAATGCTAGCTGCACAATGTAATGCTATTGTCAAGGAATGGACACACTTTATATTATATTTATATTTATATATATTTAACAAAAGAAAGATACATTTGAAATTAATTTGTTTTTGTCTCATAATTTGAGTAACAGGGTTGCGTTTGTATGAGTGCCACACTCCTTCAAGAGTGACAAGATTGGAAATATATTACAAATAAAAGAGAGGACTTAGTTTTGGTCTACCCATGGTAGTAGCACATGGCTTGCTGATGTCCTTTCCACTGTGTCATGCGACAAACAGTTTTTTCACTTCCTCTGCCAAGCTAAAAAGGTTTCGGTAACAGGGTTGCGCGCATGTTGAGGGACACACCTTCTGTGCAAAATTACTGTTATTTAAAATGTGTTTATGATTTAACAAATTGATTTTACCATTACAAGACACATATATCAATAGAATAATACCAAAAAGTAAATAAAAACCCTATTTTAAATGTTATAGTTGACATGCAAGTTGGTCACCAAGAAGCTGGGACAAGAGAAAAGGGCAATTTTAGGGGGTGTTCGAGAGCTATTTGATATTTTAAATAATATTTTGAAACTACTTTTTCTACAACTTTATATGCATCTTGTCTCAAGACAAGTATATTTAACACAACAAGTGCATGTCTTAGCTTTTTGGGCATGGATTATTAGATTTTTTATATGGGGGACATGAAATGTCCTCCAATTCTGGAATGACCCAAAAATAAAATGTTACCATTAGTTCTTAATGAAATTGATACGGTTTGACTTTGTATTAGTAAGCCTACTACTAACAATACATTGAAGTACTTTTACTGTGTATTTTTTTGAGAAATACTCTGTCAAAGTCCCCTCCTGAGAACAAAATCAAGCCACTTCTTCTAAGTTTGATGAGGGAAAAAAATATTTTTTGGGTGATTTAATGGGTGATGTAACATTAATGACAGACATAATATGAGGTCCTTGGCACTCTAGAGGGGTCATTTTGTGATCATGGGGCATCACCCTTACAGCATCAGGACAATATCATATGGAGTCAGATACTGGAAGTGGGCTGGAGGCGTTAACTGGGACTGATGAGACTGAAGAATCTGCGAGGAACGAACTAGCGGCAGAGGATTAATTATATATTAAAAGACAGCAGCATCATAAGAGGGCAACCATGTGACAGAGTGTGTTACTTTGCTGAAGGATATTTGTGACCAGCTATCCATTCCAGGCCAGACTCTAAAGACTTTCCAAGGTGTGAAAATGCTGCTGCCGGAGTACTGACTGGAAGTATTGCTGATATCATGTCTACCATCCTCTTAAAATACTCTGTCCAACAATATCAGTCTCAGGAAGAAATGTTTTTTAACGCTTATTAAAAGAAAAACATGCATTCTTGTACTCAGGAGGGGACATTGACAGAGGATTACTGGAAAAGTACACAATAAGTACTTCATAGTACTTGTGGGGGTAGTTTCAGTAGTACTGAGTCCAACAGGATCAATCTCACGAAGAACTAATGGCAACAAAAAAGAATTCCCTCATCAAACTTAGCAGAAGTGGCTTGATTTTGTTCACAGGAGGGGACTTTGACAGAGTATTTCTCAAAAAATACACAGTAAAAGTACTTCAATGTATTGTTAGTAGTAGGCTTACTAATACAAAGTCAAACCGTATCAATTTCATTAAGAACTAATGGTAACATTTTATTTTTATCATTCATCAAAGATAGCAAAAAACATGCATTATGTACTATGGAGGGGACTCTGACAGAGGATTACTCACAAAGTACACAGTAAAGTACTTCATTTTATTTCTGGTTGCAGTCAACTAGTACCAAGTCCAACAGTGTCAGTTTTATTAAGAACTTGTGGTAAAAAATATTTGTATCACTCATTGAATATAGCAGGAATAAAAATGAAAAGCAGCTGATTGACCGAGTGCAGAATCGCTGTATACAGGGGCGGACTGGGACAACAAATCAGCCCGGGACTCTCGACCGGCCCACTTCGGTACCGCCGGCCCACCTCGGTACCGCAAGTAAGCGGCCCACCTCGGTGGTGCCGCAAGTAAATACCGCGAGGAAATTGTCGACGGGGGGGAAGGGGGGGTGAGCAGTGACTTATCCG